CTACCGGCGCAGGCTCATGAGATCCAAAAGTTCCAGTACAAGTGCATTCTTTGTGCGCAAATCATCAAGGCGGAGGGTCACACGAAAACGCACTGGCAGACCATTCACCAAGAAGCATGGGATCGTTCGCAACAGGATGCAACCTCGGGGGCCAGAAGCTTGAGAGCCGCCTTCAACAGACCGTGTCAATTCTGCGGAAGCACAGCCCAGCATGGGAAATCGGACTCAGCTCATCACGCCACAAAGTGCACTCCCATGTTTCAGGTGCTGGCAGCGCGAAAATTGCATGCAGCAGGATTGCTGGAGCAAATGCTCTCGTCGAGGCGGGGACCGGCGTTGAAGCAGAGGGAACGGGAACCACTTTACTGCACAAAAGAGCGCACAGGGATCTTGGCGATGCTTTGTGGACCACGAGAGCCGGCGGCAAAGGATGGGGCTACAGCAGTCCCAGTCAAGGACAAGGCGACCCCAACAGAGCCCACGGTAGAGTCGGGGAGCAAGGGTTCTGCACGTATGCTGGCCAACCAGGTGAATGAGGTGAGGGAGGAGATGTCGTATGACGTTTTTCTACGTGTCAGGCTCCGCAATCCTCATAACTTGTGTTACATGAACGCGGGGGTCCTGGCCATGCTGCATGCTATTCAGGCTGATGAGCTACCTCGTGGAATGCGACCTCTACGTGATGCTGTATCTCAGGCCCCGGGAGAGGGGCTCACCCTCTCAGCACACTTTGGTCTGCAGTCTTTATTTCAAGGATGGGTGCTTGATCGCAGGCAACGGGATGTTGCTGAATTCATGGACTTTGTGCTCAACAAGGTGGGGTACGTGCAGGTGCACTGGGAAGCTCGAACCCTAGGCCGTGGTGTTCATTCGACGGTTGACTCAGGCTACGGCATGCTGTATCTTGACCTACCCAGCAGTGCGTGTGACTTACAAGAGCTGGTGAGTGCGTGGTCAGACCAGGCATACATCCATGCGTTAACGTCCATGAGGCAGTCGGTGGTGCTTCAGTTAGGCAGATTCCCTCATCGAGGCAAATCGATGGCCCAGGTACGCTTCCACCAGACCTTGAATTTGCCAGTGTTCGAGAACGGGGTGCAATGCAAATGGGAGCCGTATCATGTCGTGGCAGGTCTCATTCACTACGGCGACTCTCCTCACTCTGGACATTATCGCGCGATACTCAGAGTGCAGTCAAGTTGGTGGATCACAGATGATGGGATTCCAGCGGTGCCATGTGAGCCGGACGATTCGTTACGCAGAGGGCTGTATGTAGTCTGGCTCAAACGTGGACCCGTGACGGAGTCGCCAGCT